TGTACACCCTTCAACCAAGTTTAACGTTAACTGTCAACATATTTAAGCTTAAAATCTATTAAAGATTTGACACTTTGTACTTACTTGGTGCACTGCCTACTGTATTAAGGTTATATTCTTGTATTATGCAAAATTGAGTTAATTAATTTTATTAATCACTTGCAAAATATCGCATTTATTGTAAATTGCTTAATATTACACCTCGTTTACACAGTGATCAATTATCATACTAATAATAATAAAGAAGTAGAATCCTAATTTATTTAAGTCGATAAAAAAAATAGCTATCTTTACCCATCGAATTTGAAAATTTTCTCGTTTTAATCCAAACTCATTTCTCATTAATATTAACAGTTTATAAAGATTAACTTTACCAATTTAATATAAGTGCAAGTACATAAGAAACAACCCAAAATAAAGTTCAATAAACTGTGTGATCTCACCTTGACGTTGCGTAGAAAGAAATACTTTAGACAATGTTTGAACCTCCTTATTTTCAAGATAATTGTATTCAGTTAAATTTTCGACGCATTTCCTGCAACCATTTCCGGACTCTAGTTAAAATTCACAGCACGACGACAAGTCAAACACCTGTCTGATAAGAAAATTTTATTTGACTTTTCGATGGTAACTAGAAAACTAACATACCAATATTTTGACGATCCCCGTAGTCGAGTACCTCACACGTCGTTTTTAACGTCGGGATACGTGCATATAATTCAGACATCCAGACCTACCTAAATATGACAGTGAATAGGTTCCTTCTGGGCAAGCTCGCCCTTCCAGAGATCTCATTCATGTTCTTGGGCTATATTGAGGTCCACAACAAACCCATTATAAAAAAAGTATTTTCATATTTTTTACTGAGTACCTAAATTAACAAAAAATTTTTTTGATGTAAAATAACCATGTTAAAAAATTGAATATTCATATAATATACAAAAATATAGCTATCGTTAAGTGGCTGTGTGGTGGATTCCCAATTCTGCAGATTTTCGGCTTTATTTCTTGCAGAAACATATGCCTCGTTTACTAAATAAACCATGAGTGTTATTAATAAACAAGGTTTACCGTTGGAGTTAATTTACGCTGAGACTGTACTTATTATTAGTCAAATTTCATAATAATAAACAGAGACTTAGCAAAGGTTAACCTAGTACGAGATTCTACGGGAGTAATATTTACTCCTAGAAGGTAGTAGATTTGCTTAATCTCAGTCTAATATGAATTGGGACTAATACTAAAAATGCAATTTTAGCGTAAATTTACTCAGACGCTAAACCTTGTTTATTAATATCACTGATTAAATGTACGACTACAAAGACATTTTTTATTGAATGCAAAAACAAAAGCATATGACATTGTCATCAAAATTTAACAAATTATTAATTATTTATCATTGTGTAAAATGAGGTTTGATTCACAACAGGCTGTATATCTACATACGTTATTGAAGTTTTGATTTATAAAAATCTCCTTGGTCGTCCTCGAGGCAAAGTGGCGTCTAACTGTCCCAGATAAGTTTTTGCTGACTTGCAATAACAATACGACTGGCATAAAACACGCGACTATTATAATTTGCCGATACTAATAAATAAAGATTTTCAGTCCTTACTGGTCGTTCAGCCTAAAAAAGACCGCCCGGGCTGTATGCATTAGAATCCCTTCTCTATTATGTTTATCATAAATTCTTTTTTGCACCTCCGTCGATAAATTTAAAAGTTTATGCTTTTCTTTTTTAGATTACCTACGCTAATTGCCATTTCTATATATGTGTTTCTAAAAGTGTAATGTTAAAAAAATGTTAAATAATAAATATGATACATAAATTGAATATATAAAATAATATTTATATTTTGTTTAACATATTAATGGTAGAAGGCTTGTCTTTAATCGTTTTGTAAAAATGAGTGAGTCGATTTGCATACGAAATATCGATTATTTATGACATAAAAATTTTTGACTTTCGGAGGTTTCTTTATAACGTTCTCGTGAAAATTAAAAACTAAAATGGACACCTGTACATCGTTTGATCTATATGTCTTTGTTTGAAAAAAATGGAAATTGTAACGAAATCCCTTATTCCTTAATTGATATTTTTGTAATATTATAAATTTACGGTCCTAACTTGATATCTTCTAACTTTGTTTGTTTGTTTGTACCTATGGGGTAGTTGGTCATGATTATTCTTTGTGCCTATTGTGCAAAATGATTTTATGATATTAATGTCTCTTTATTTATCTCTATTGTGTGTTGTAAAATAAAGTGTTTTCACTATATTCTTTCACTTACAGGAAACTACATCATACGCGGCGATATAAACCATAAATTACGCGGGCGAAGTCCCGAGGAAACAGCTAGTTTCTTATAAAGAGAAATACTTAACGAATTCAATTAAACAATTGTTTTAGGGATACGGAGTTTAGGAGTTTAATTTAATTTCGAATTTTAAGCTTTTGACTTTTATTAAGATGGCGCGATATACGTAAAATAAACTAACTTTCCACAGTTCAAAGGTCTGTCCCAGCCAAAATATGAATTAACCAATTTCCTCATTAATTACACTCCAAAACTATACTCCAAAATTCATCATATTTCCAATTATATGCGGGGTAAAAAATGCGACATAATCTTAAACTATTATTGTTAATGTGCTACTTAATTTTCATGACTACAATGTGACCCATATTATTTATTAATTTTACGTTAGTTTTTGTCCATCAGTGCGATCCGTCAATTACCTAGCGATCGAGTCCAGTCTTGCAAATCTCGCGGATCCCGCGCCTGTAATCCCGCAACACGGAAAAAAGATGAGGGATCCCGCAATACCGAGATTAGAAGGCCTAAATAGCTGTGCTATGTGAATTATGATGTCTTTTATTAATTTTAGTAAGACAATGAATAAAAAAGGTATGTCGCGTTGCTTTTTACAGTATATTTGTGTTTGTTTGTTTATCTGTCTATTTATAGGTGTATAATAACGTCTCCCTAGTCGTTCTCGTGGGCGGAGTCAGGTGTCATTCGCAGCAGACCTTAGGGGATGCAGAGCAGGGGTGGATAGTGCCAGCTATGTAATCACGCATCTTTATGTCGGCAGACTTCAGTTTATTAAATGTTCCTTTTATAATTTTTACTTGTTGTAAACAGGGGGAGATGTTCGCTCTTAATGTTTTCGACAGGGTATTAAGAGTTTTTAGATTTAGGAATATTGGTTATATTATTTTTGTTATAATTATCTACATTAGTTAATTTTAGTTTTAAAGTTAAGATATATCATCTTTATCAATAGGGTAATATATGTCAAATTTTCGATATTCAAAATTTCTTTTAAGCTCCATATTATTTGCAGTATTGATTTGTTTTTATTCCACTTTTTTGTTTACCAAGTGTATTAAGACGATTAAATTTAAGATATTAGTGCAAAATAAATCATATTTAGGAAATATGTAATATGTAATGCGTACCTTACATTTTCATTATTAATAAAAACATTATTATAAGTAAACCAGCTTTCCGCCAGCGGTTTTGCCAGCGTGGTCTTGTATTATACTATCTATTAAAAAAACAGCATCAAAATCCGTTTAGCAGTTTTAAAAATTTAAGCATACATAGAAAGCGACTTTGTTTTATACTATGTAGTGATTATTCTATTTTTTTTCTTTAATTAAATAGAAATACAGTTAATATAAATTATGATTAAGGATCTGATCTCAGAAAAAATATAATATTATTGAAAGTCAATTATCCTTGTCTCTTGTTACTTATAGTTTTAACCTTTTCATACACAATATTCAAGCTAATTCGGACCTTTTAATTTTTTAGATCTATTTATAAATAAATTATCTTCAGATTGACACGTACTATTATCGTAAAGAAGCACCTATTAAAAACGTATATCCAGCTTTAATGCATGTTGTTTTACCTACATTTGTTTCTAGCCATAATTTACGATATAATACTGTTCTCAAACCTAACTGATATAATCAAACCAAACTTATAAAATTCGCCAAGTTGTTTCGGAGAATATAATAAAGACCCAATAATTTTTTTATAACTTACCTTCATAGTAAGAACAGTAATCTTGTACTAATCAATAAATTGTAAGTATATTATGATCGAGACCGCTCACGCAGAGCTAGCAGTGTTCTCGTGCAAGGGCGCATTAACTTAGTCAGCCAATTACTTCAATGTTCTACGTCCGAGGCGAACCAGCGCAATATGTTAACATATATTTTTAATTTCTCCACCAGACAGCTAAAGAGGCAATCGCGAGTTCATGCGCAGGAGTGAGATTTATAATAAGAAAACGCTCCTACCGCGCATGCACCATAAGGATCTATAAATCTTTTAAGTACTGCATCGGCCAATCCCTGTTCAGAAACGATAAATCATACCCGCGGCCGGTGAAGCCGAATCATATACGATCACCCGTCCTCCTCCCACTCGCTGGTAGTTGCGTCGCTTACATCATTTATCATTTCTGCATCTCGCTCCTACCCAATGATAAATTCAATTCTCTTTTGGAATATGATTGTTCCTCGTTTTGTTTTTGTGGTGTTTTATTGGGGGTATCGTCACGGAGTGAGGTTTTTTGATGGCAGTACGATCGAACTGATCGCGAGAATTGGATTTCCATTTTAGATTTGGTGCGCCGACCGATCAATCTTACGGCATTCATCCTTCGATACTCTTGTTTACAACTATTGGTTTGGGAAAAAAGTTGGTAGGTATGCATTGTTATACGATTTCAAATCATCGACTCGTTTGTCTTTTTAAAAATATACTGACTTCATCGATTGGCATTTTTATGGAACATTAAAGTGGTTCGATTAAGAATGATGAATTAAACAATAAACTGGATTTTAGTTAAGTATCGGCTGGATATTTACATGATTTAATTCTATCTAAACTGTTTACAGGAGATGATTGTAGTCATTATAATGACTAATAAAAATTCCTTTAATATTGAAAGTGAAATATGTTTTTCTTCTTTATTTTTTGCTATTTACAGGGCTGTAGAAAAGACAACAATTTGTTCTTAAAATAACTTAAAATACATCGTGCTCTTTCAGTCGTTTATTTACAATAATAAGACGCAGCTATTTATCTCTCATAAAATGTTCGTTCGTGAAAAAATAGTATATACTTTTAACATATACATATAGCGATGTAATCATAAATCCAGGCTTAGTTAGCACAATACTCTATTATAGCAACTACACAAGTAATTTACAATAAAATCAATCGCTTATTACTATTATCACTGGGCATTTATAATTTATTTATACTTACACGAGCTTATTTAATAATGTATCTTAAGATTATTTATTATTTTACACTTTTACAACCTATAAATTGTAGTTTTATTAGACTTCGGTGCTTTGGCCATGCTGATAAATATAATAAGGCTTCATTTCGAACTTCACAACGTTACTAAGCGAGGAAATTAGTAACCTTCCAAATAATAACTGTTTGCGATATATCTCGTTAATTTTCACACAACTTTCGTAAGTTTCGCATTGTAAGAATATATTCTTTTATTTCATATAGAAATTCTATTACACAACAATACAATTGTTTGTACATGAGTGCTTACACTAAATAAAGGCTGTAATAAATCACTATCAACAATGCTGTTGACAAAAATCTACTCTGTACATTGTTGGTGTCCCAAGACATCACAAAGGTTGTAAAGAATCCTAACGGACAATACCCGTAGACGTTTTCACCAAATTAAAAGACAAATTCCAACAAAACTTTGTGCGCTTAAGGATGCTTACCAAATATTACACCATGAACGTTTAACAAGTGGTCAATTCGTTGTCTAAAGCATGTCGTAAACAACAAGCTGACAATATAGAATATACCTAACCCTTTTGTAAGCTCTACATTGTATCTTTCAAATAATTATCTAGTGACATTCAGTAGGATTCATTAATTAAAACTTTAGGACGGCTGTTGTCTGTATAGGATGGTCATATTACATACGGACTAATAAATATAAATAAGCGTAACTTACTTAAAGCACTGAACCGTACGCGCTTTAGTGAACTTTTCATTCTACGGCAAAACCTAAAATATTAATTGGTGAGCAATATCGGAGTGTTGCTTATCGTGGAATGAAAGGTTCCCTAAGCGCGATGCGGTCAGTACGCAGCGGCGGCACCCGAGTGGTGCATCAAGTGGTGATGGTGATAAGACTCTTGGGATGGACACCACCAATCAGGCACCCCGTGTGGTACCGTCGGGGCTGGTTGTTGAAATTGCGTCCAATGACCACCGAACCCGAGTTTGTTGTCCATGACCCCGTTGCTTCCTATATTAGTTAGATGTGGTTGGTGTTGATGCGGCGGCGCCGGTGGTCGCTCGTAAGGTTTCTGATCGTGCGGGCTGAGGTATTTGTCGTTGAGGCTTTCTAGTTTGTCGGTTATCGAAGGATGGTGGTGATGGTGCGGGGGCGGGGCCGCTGCGGGGGCGGGTGGGGGCGGCAACGGCGCGGCGGGACTGGAAGCGCCGGCGGTGACGCTGACGCTGCCGGCAGAGGAGGAGTCGTCGCCGTCGCTGTCGTAACGGGGGGACGCGTCGCCTGCAGCGCCGTGGACCTTCATGTGTTTGCGAAGCGACGACGGGTGCGTGTACGATTTGTCGCAACCGTGCACGCGACAATTGTACGGTTTGTCTGAAGTGTGGACGTGTGAATGCTTCTTCCTGTCCGATGAGTTGGCGAAACGCCGGTCGCAACCTGCGTACTCGCATTTGAATGGTTTCTCACCTGGAAACATGAAAAACTTGTATTAGATAATTTTCGAAACATAAAGGTGCGTAAAAAATAACAGTCAATGCAATTTAGTTAAATTTATTTAGGAGCTCGATGGTACACTTGTTATCACGTTCGGGCGATGTGGAAGTTGAGGCCGAAATAATATTGTCTCGACTTCCGTAATTCGGAAGGCACGTTTAAGCCTTCGGTCCCGGCTGCATCTGCAGTCGTTAACATCCACTAATCCATTATGGTCCCGCGTAGTGGTTCACGATCCGTTCTACCTATTCGATTTCATTCACAGGGAAGTCGTCCCAACAGAGCGGACGGAAATAGGCTGGTAATGATGACCAGTAGGTAAAAATAGCATTAAATACAATTAAGCCTAATAAATACAACACTAATACTAAATAGAAAATAGTAATATACAAAAGCATCAATGATAAAAAAAAAACGAAATAGCTCGGCAAACGTTCAATTTCATTCTCTCACTGCCCAATCGTTGAAATAAAACGAACGCATTCAGAACGCGAATGTCCAATCACGCCATAAATAACCAGATTTGCTCGTTGTTTATAGTTTACGAGTACAAATAAATATTCACAACAATTGCACGGGATACTTAACACAGCCACAAATCATATTTATAAGAAGACTTTGTCACAGTTCAGTAACAAAGCACGCAAGGGACCGCACAGAATATTCAACTTTAAATATTTCGAAAGAAAGATGTTAATGGTTTTGTAGATTTTCGAAGGATCCCAAAGGGTATGCCAAAAGCTCGCATCCGCTTTTGGGATCACAGGAGGATAGGGATGACGTTCTAATCCCCTAAGTTAAGTGTTAACTATCGGCTTCGAATAGTCGGACCTCTTTAACGAGCATTTTTATTCATAATTATATATTTGGTTACAACAACTATATTTTTACCGATATTTATATCTAGAGATTACCGATATTTATATTTATATAGAGATATCGATGATCATATTTTTATTTAACTTTAATTCGAGTTTTAGATAATATTGATTGAAAGGAATTTATCAATCAAGATGCTTTTGATGTAATTATTAACTATATCGTTATTAGGTAGATACAATCACATGTTTCTAAGCTTCCATCTTTCATGATGGATTTTTTGTAGAGGAGGTTTTTTCTACTCATATTCTCGCGCCTCGTTAGATCCTTTACGAGTTCACCGAATCGTATGAATCGCAAACATTCAATAAAGTACATTACGAGTAGGCTTGGCCAACGTGACCGTATACAATACTATTTTTATTGTCGTGTTTACAAATAACTTCTCTATAATCCTGGCATTGTTGAACACGAACTTGGAGCACAGATGCTAATCTCAAGTGTCTGTTAAAGTGCTTATAATAGAGCTTTTTACGCGATCCCTCACCGCAACTTTTGTTATAACCGATACTCAATGAAATCACACGTCGTCAGTTCATGTTGAATGGTGTGATACTTCCTTTGAATAAGTAGTAATGGTAGACAAAAAAGTATACGCATGTGAACCTGCATTGCTCTATGAATATAAGTATTCTGACATGATTCTGACCGAAAAATGTTATATTTGTATCTGTTCATTTGCTTGGTTTATAATCCCCGTGAATAGGATGTATCGTATTGGACCGTGTACGGATTATAGACATTGTGATACTCTATTTTAAAATGTCTGCAGATACCGTATTTCATTATAATCAAATATTTTTCAAAAGTTTATATTTGCTAGTTTTTCTACACGGTTTTCAAAGGAGGTTTTAGTATGCAATCCGTGATGGAAAACTAAGAAAGAGACTGAATTTTGTAACCGGTTGGAATCGTTCTGAATCAAATAAAACTCATCGACATACGTCGCGTTGTTGGGTCTCAAAGCGTTATGATAAAAACAGCTCTCGTTTCAAGACCTAATGAGCCAAACGCGGGACAAGTCCGAAACATGTGTCGCCCACCTAATTACTAATCGGAATATCTCGGCGAACGTCACAAAAACACCAGCAAACAAACACGTTAGGTTGCGATGCGTTATCGGCGCACGCGACAGCGATCACTTTGTTTTGAGAAACAACAAGAACCTTTTTTCAATACGGTGTTTTTATGACTTTATTTAATTTTTTACCGATATAGAACTACCTTTTTCATTTTGTAGAACAATTGATTGTCTTATCTATGTCTAAACTGAATCTGAAATAGAGTTGTGTATTAGTTTCGTATTGTCATTTGCTGTTTAGTGTAATATTTAGAGGTACTTATTATACAGCAATCTAGTATTCTGATAAGACATAACAGCTACAAAAATTACTTAATAGTAATTTTAAAGAATTGAAATTACACAAATACTTTTCAATGAATCGAGTAGAAAATGAACTAAAAACGTTTAGCAACTCTATAGAAACTTTCGTATATACATGTGTTTTCTTAACATATTTAGTAAGAACAATTTAAAAAGGAAGAACATAAGCGAAGAATGCGCATCGTGAATTCGTTGCATACCCGCCGGGACACGGATAGGGTCAGATGTTTATCTTAAACGGCTGTATCACCCACGGGAGACACTTTTTTGTGTTAATATGGACGTGAAACTTTATCTTCGGCTTGTTCAACCAAAACGTATTTGACGGCTTTAATCTTTGATAGGATTTAAAATGATCGCTCCTGATGTTTTGTTTAGTAGCACGGTAGTCAAATGCACTTTTTTTGGAGGCTTTGATTGATTAACAATTACAATTAAAATCAGAATTGTTTATTTATAAATACATTAACATGATTTGGCAATGGTTGTTAAAGAAAATTAAATGTAGACATCTAGGTAGGCGATATAACTCAAATCGAGTAGTAATAAATTACTCGACGCTCTAGTAAATAAACGCACGGTTGGCACATTGCCTAGCCCGAATTATATTGAAGTATCAAGTTACAAAACGCTACTTAAGAGCGCTCTACTGAGAAAACAAGCTTTTTAGAAATAGCACGAGCTGGGGAAACCCGATATCGCGGCCTTTGCACCCAAATTGTAGTAAATGGCTTCGGATGAGTTTAGAGAAAAAACAATCCACTATAGCCACATATCAAGTTCCTTACTATTGGGAACTCATAAACAGATATTAATTAACGTTCTCAAATAACAATCGCGAATATTACTGGATTCACAGGTTTTGCTACTGCGGTTCGTGTCATCACCTTGAATTATAATTGGTTGATACATGATCTTTGTACACCTGTCCCACAGATAAGTAAAAATCTAATTCGATACCAGCATAAATAAAATTTAAAGTAATAGATGACAATGTTACGTGATCGATCATGTATATCAATAACTAGTTCATTAAAAAAGTTTTAAAGAAGTAATAAGTTTTTATTTCCTTTTAAATAACAATTAAGACAGGACTATTTTTTCTAAGAAAAATATTTTTGAAAACTATGGTAAAGTGACAAAGCGTAAAATTAAAACCATCTGCCATTTAATCAATAATATTTTTGGATTCCGGTATGATTCGGTTGGACCATTGTTTCGGTTTATTAAATGCCACGGAACAACACATATCAAAGTTAATTCAATCTTCAACAGACAGGCAGCAAATGAGCGGCCGATGACTCGCTTTTTATTGACACACCGCGTTCGACCGCAGACAAAGTGCGCCTTATTGAGTTGACCCAATAATCACCACTCTTATCCGCTACAAGCACATAATAATAATAATTACTGTTCTCCTAAAACTGCCCCACAACTTCCTAGGACTAGACAAACATAAAGAGCCTCTTCACATCTGTCACAATAATAGAGCTTGATTGACGACAATTCTTCGAAAATCGATTTTCTTTCGCATATTTAAAAAGAATTTCGTACGGGCACATAATGATTTATGATCCTCCTTTTATCCGTAACGTATTTCGAATTAGAAAGATATATTAATATCTTCATTTTTTCCACTTCTCGGAGAATACGGGCCCTTGTCTGGGTGAACAAAAAGAATAAGCGCGGGGTCGGACGAACGTATTGGGCGCCCAACGACCGTGTGACAACGTGCATTATGCGGACGATTATGAGCGGACCGAATAATGTTCCGATACCCGATAAATATCTGCCAACTCATACAAAAGCATCCCAATAAAAATATAATAGTAAATGTAGCAACAACACAAGCCACAAACTGCACAGTCATACCTTGCTGATAAGTATAAATAAATTAAAATGAAAACTTGTTGCGTGAGTGGAAGAAATACTAGAACAGTGAGTGTTACCGGTTATGATGAATTCGAATCGGTATAAAGTTTTATCGATTCATTCAGTGCCAATTCACCACTCTTCGGCAAATACCTATAGATGTTGGGATGATTTAGAAAACGTATTATGGCTGGAGTATTAATACGACTGGGTTTGGAATATATTTCGTGAACTTTAAATGTGTACTGTATGTAAATTCGGCTTCCTTATTTTTATGGCGCGATATTAACTTAAAAAGCACTCGACTGATTGACTATTTTTTACATAATGTTGAATTTTTACGTAAGTCTTTTATTTCATACTTCTCATGAGAACGTTGTTCCTATGATTCCCATTGCGTTCCCAAGTGAACTTTAGGAATGTGGCTCTTAATAATGCTTATTATTTTAGTTACAACAACATGAACGCAAAATTGTGATACATGCTATCAGCATTTTTAGTGTTATATATAAAATTGTTTAAATTAATTAAGTAAGAAAGTAAAAACATAAAGATGCCTATGTGGATGAAACCTAATAATATACAAAACGTTATGGCTACAATTAATACGTTCACTCGTTTTCATTCTTCCAAAGTGATGGTGAATTTGTCCCATCTCGCTTTATACAAGTAAATTAAATCGCGTCTACCATTGTTCTGGACGGAGCCGCGAAAACACCATCCGTCTTGCTCTGATAAGTATCAGCTGGGAACAAGAAAGTAAGACAATCTACTCAGCTATATATTATGTCGAAAATGAAATGATGTTTTCCTCTTTTCGCGTTCCTTTACGTTGCTT